CCACTCTCCCCACCTTCCAGATGTCTGGCATGATGAGAGTGGCATAGACAAGTTGAGGACCTCCGTTAGGTACGCTACCCCCGCAGGACCCAAATTTTTCAGCATCAGCATGCATATTCCGTCGGGACCCATGGCTTTGGAGGCTTTCGCCTTCCCGATGGCCACCTGAACTTCACCGCAAGTGAAAGCAAGGGGGGCACAAGTTGTTGGCAGTTTGTGCAGCCTTCTGGTCACTCGACGCTTGGCTTTGTCCACCGGAGGATGCAGTATGAACTGCCGCCTAAATAGCTCGCGCATCGCTCCGGGTCCGACGAAGCATGGTCGCCGAAGGAAATTTCGACTCTGTCGTCGTGCATCGTCGGATTGGACAGCGACCTCACGGTTGACCAAAGCTTGCTCACACCAGAGGTGCAGTTCAGAGGTCTTCAGATGCTCCGCCTACTTCTTCCGCTTATGTACGTTTACTTGTTGCCGAATCTCCGCGTTGAGATCCCTGACACGGGGATCTCCGGGATCGGCCTGACGAAGGCTATCACGCTCATCGGCTAGAAAAGCCGCTTCGGCAGGGAAGTTTGGACGTGGGTCCGTTATACATCCTGCCGGTATGAAGCGAGCTGCAGCAGCAGTGACAGCCTGGCGGAACTTACGAGATGGACGTCGGTTAGTGTGGGAAGNGTGGTATCCCTGCGGTCGATGTCTGCTACGATAAGACGATACTGCACGGTGTGGTGCGTGATGAACGCCAAGCCGCCACCATTATCTCGCTCGCGATCTCGACGGTGCAGTACAACGTGCAACAAAGTTGAATTGCTGTGCAACTTCGTCTTTTGGACCGCAGCTATCAATATACCATGCCGACACATAAAGACGATACACTCTTGGTGTTCTCTTAATTCCTTATCCTTAAATGTGAGTAAATGCTCCTATTCCACTTTCCCCAAAAAGCTTACCGTTCAAACCAATTACAATATTGGGGTCTATAATCTTAAATATGTCGCAGAGGTTAAAGATTTATGGGTTTACTTCGATTCAAAACTAACCTTCGCAACCCATATTAATTACGTAATTTCCAAAGCTCATGCAATACTCTCATTCGTACGTGGTAATGGTCAGTTGTTTAAGGACCCCTATACTCTGAAGCTTCTTTATGTTACTATAGTGAGATCTAGGTTAGAATATGCATCTTTTATTGGCGACCCTATCAGGCCGTCTATATAAACTGGATTGAAAATATTCAAAAAGTTTTTTAAAAATTTGCCTTGCGTTTTCTGGCAGCCTCTTTTGTGGCTAAAATAGTCGATTGATCTAATCTTTTGGAGAAGTTAGCATTAAATGTTCCGTCTCATAATATGCGTCATATTTCTTTATTTTACCTGGGATTTCCAAAAACTAACTACGTAAAATTCTCTTTTTTGTTCAGAACCTTTTCTAAGTTAAATAAGCTCTCTGAATATGATCCGTCTCTCTCATTTGGAACAGTTCGGTTTGTCCTGCTAAATTACTTTAGGAAGTGCTTAAGCTCTTTGTTTTATAGTCAGTAAGGATTTGTATTCCTTTGATTAAATAAATAAAAACTGTGCATATGTATATGCATTATTTCGTTTTTTTTTTCATATGCTTTATTTCGTATGCACACTTTCCATATGCACAATTGCAGGGTGCCCAGTCGCCATTAGTTTTGCGCTTTTTGAAGATGGTGTGCGACATATTCGCCCGTATTTAGTCATTAATCTTTTTAGGATTGCAAGACGATGTACATGAACGTAGAGCCTTGATCTCTATCGAGCGATTGCCAAAACCTAGACTCAGATATTGCTGGCGTTGTGATAAAATATATGCATCCGACGTTGATTTTGAAATTCATGTAAAGCAAGTTCACGCAAAGAGTACAAAAAAGCTCACAAGTAAAAAATTCTTACCAGAACATTCTGTTAACGCTCCAGGTCAATATTCATCTCCGTTACGCTGTGAAATATGTGGTGGGGAATTTAGTTCACGTACATGTTTTCAATCACATAAAAACGCACATAAAGAAATTACTTGCTCGCTTTGTTCTAAGAAAATGCCCACTCGGCGTAGCTTTCAACAGCATATGGCGCATCATAGCGGTAGTAAAAGTCGTCAATATTCAGATGTTCGCAGCTTTGTATGCCCAGTATGTGATGTCAAATTTGGGACTGCTTGGAACTTAAAACGTCATACAAAATTTTATTGCTTAGGACCTATTAGTTAAAATCCCTAAAAATTACATTAATTGTACGATCAAAAATTTATAATAAATTGTTACAGGTGTAAAAAACAATATGTTCAGTAGGGCTGGGTAATGGTGCATTTACATGGTACGAAGCCATATGAACTGTTGATACGCTAAAATAGAGGGACTACATGTTCTAATGAGGAATTCAATGATATCGAGTGGGATGCATATAATAAATTTTTTCATATGAAAAGTTATGGTGAGATACTGTAAACATACTGTTGTGATACTGTTAAGCATATGAAATTATAGCAAGTTGGATTTTCATACATCTTCCCATAAAAAGTTTAACAGATGCAGAGATACCAAGGAGGTTTTTACCCCATTTTGATGCCTTTTTAATATAAAATGCCACCAAAAATTGGGAAAGCGGGAACTTCGCCATTCACATACATGTCAAAAGTATGAATTTTAAAAATTAAAAACAATAAAAAAACAAATTCAAAACAAAGAAATTAATTGTACAAGAACTTTTTCAATAGAAGCAACTCACGTATAGTGGACAATAAAAATACAAGGCACTATGATAACAAACTTAAAACAAGACATTACAGAACATTTTAATGAGCTTTTTATCACATTTAAGTAAAAATAAGCCTATATTTTCCAAGCTGGCAAAGAAATGAAAATGTGTATATTTTGTTGTTTACACAAATACTTGCCAAATATACATATAAGTCAAAATTATAGAAGGCATGTATACTTCTCCCTTTAATTTTTTCATACAGTTTAAGCTGATGCCAGATAAAACTTTGTAGCTTTGCGTGACATTTATAAATTTGCCAGCAAAGCGCCAGACGCAAAAGGTATGCCACAATGAACGCCAAGAAATCAATTTTGCACTGCTTTTTTACTCGTCAAAATTGCTGTGGATTTAAGATATTTTGCTTTAAAATTATCAGCAATGTAATTGAGTTTTATGTTTCAGCATGAATACTCGAATTTGGACGAAACAAAATAAATATTAAACCGGCTGATTGTCAAAGCGCGCAAAAAGATGGGAGTTGGCCATCTTTTCGCTTCGCGCTGCAGCTTCAATGATCTATGTGGCATGCTTTGTGCATTTTCATACAATTCATCTTAGCTGTCAAAGCGAATCTGTCACGTAAAGCGAAGCAAGCGTTTCATGTGGCATCAGCTTTATGCTTCTTTCTAGCTTTTACAAAATGCAGGGATACCGCACTTATTTCGGTACAATATGTAATACTTCTATATTGGCAGTAAGCTAACTTCTCAATGTGTAAGCCTTCCGAAATCAAAGCGAGACAGTCTAGTACGGTTTTTGTCAATGTATTGTGTACTTGAGTGCCGTTTTTGTATATGTGTTGTGTACATGTTTATTTATAAACGTATGTGTTCCTTTTCTTTCGTACGTGTTTATTGATGTATCTGTACTGTAGTGTTTTCGGACGGTACTAGCTCTTACTGCCAATATAGGAGTATTACATATATGTCGAAATCAAAGAAAAACATCCCACGAAAATGTATGCGATTTTAGAGCAATTAGTGTATATTTGCAAACTACTGCAAATAATGGGGTGTCATATCTTAAAAGGTCAGAGAGTTAACGAATTAACGTTTCCTTTTGTTTAGCGTTGTAACTGCTTAATTTATATCTTTTAATTTATACATGTGAACTCTTTTCAATACCAGCAATATATGTAAAGTAGTGGTGGCTGCTGTAGAGCTATACGCAGCGCCAGTGTTGGCAAAATGTTAATCTGATTATTGATTAAAAATTGACGATTAAAATGTTAATCGTTATTGACGATTAAAATTAATTAATCGTAATCAACTGAGCGATTAATCCAGTTAAAAAGAAAATCTGTTGTCTAGTTTATTCGAATTCGAGACCAAACACTAGTTACAGTAATTATTTCGTGTTTTATGCTTATAAAAAGCACATAATATAAAAAAAAGTTATAATTATTGTTATTAGTAATACATAAACTGGGAACTTTTACAACCCAGCGCACATGTGCAGAGGGATATTAAAACTTAGTTTGTAAAACGTCTGTTGGAATAGATCTTAATAAAAATGCACCGAAATCGCTTAGATGAGGAAAACCGACTTAGCCATACCCGACTAACTGGACTTTTGTTCACAGGAAATTAATTAATCACCAAATCTACTTAATCAGATTAAGGGTTAATGATTAAAAATGAATTTGTATAATCGTGGTTACGATTAACTGTTTAATCAGATTAAAATTAATCATGATTAACTGTAAGCGGATTGAATTTAATCGAATTAACTAATTAATTAAAAAATCAATCGATTAGTGCCAACACTGATTCAAGCCCAGTTTCCCACCAATATTAAAATGTAAAAAACAAAAAAGTTTTTTTTTAATAGCGCTTGCCCCTCTGTCGGTAATAGTTAACCTCCGAGTGTATTCTGTACAATTGTCGTTCGGAGTCTTTGTGACAAAATCAAAGCGCACGATCCATATCGAAGGAGAAGCTAGGCCAAACACTAACGTATTGTGTAACGCCGTCGTTTAAAGTACAAAAGCGCGTATCGTGGCTCTGCAAAACCTCGAAACTAAAATGTGTGCCAAAAAGGATATTTGGTCACCGGAAGCTCCTGACATCAAGCCCTTAGCCATTTATAATAAAATATCGATATTTAGACATAAGGAGAAGAGATAATTGAGTTTAAAAGAGAGAACCGGTTTTAATTAGGACAAGTCTTNTTTAGACATAAGGAGAAGAGATAATTGAGTTTAAAAGAGAGAACCGTTTTTAATTAGGACAAGTCTTACTCTCCTATAAAATTTAGGCAACCTCACATACGAGCTTTTGCATTTTCTTGATGCGCGGTTTTGTACTTTAAACGACGATATGTAGAAGTATTGCATATATATTTTGGTGCTTTTTCAAGTAAAAAATCCATTGAGAAACCAAAGAAAACGGCATCCCTACGATTTCAACGTATGCCAAACGTTTTTAATATGAAAGACAAAAAACGTAAACAAGCCATTTCTGAACAAAACATAGTTTATCTACAAATATGTTTGAATTGAGGCATTACCCATTTGAAAAAATAGCAATTCACAAGACTTTATGGGCAGTAGGTCCTTTTTAAAGCACATTAAAAAAAATAAGCTTCTATTTAGTTTCAAAGTTAGCACACAATGAAATTTTTTTGTTTGTTTACAAAAAGAATTCTTGCCAAGTATTTAAGTGAAAATTATTAAATATATATCGCTTTCAGTCATTTCTTCATAGAGTTGGTGCTTCTTTTAAAGGAAAACTAGCTTATACCCGCGGGTTTCACCCCGCGCTTTTATACAAATATGAAAAATAATTTAATGATGTTAGATTTTATTGCTGTGCCCATTTCGTTATAGCTCGTTATTTTTTAAGCGAGTTAAGGTATTTAGGCCGTTTAATCTATGAAATTATAAAATCTCGTCTGCGCGCTAGATATACGAAACATATCAATCCCTCTAAGTTTACCTTACAATGGTTCCAGGTATACGACGCGTGAACGTGTAACCTTCTTGGAGGTGCCTAATATTTCCAAATCAAATTTAGAAACCTGGCCTTGATAAAATACCACTTCTCATTACTGTAGCAAATGCCTCAAGAGAGCTTTACATTATAAGGCCGAACCCGGCTCTCCCTTTTCCATTTAATGAAATTTATTCTGTCAGTACGGCACTTATAAAATAAATCTCCAAAATTTAAAATACGAGAGATTTTCTATCCTTCCAGAAATATGTATTAAGAAGTTTTTAGTATGTATGGGAGGCGACATGCCTCCTTTTTGAATAACTCACATTTTTTCCATGAGCAATTGATACATTTTGCATACATAACTCCATACCAAGTTCCAGTATTCTTCTTACAAACACTTCCTGGGATATGTGGCAAGAAAAAGTAAATTTGTACTGGAAGTGCCCTTTTTTCTTATAACCCTAATCTTCCTCCATGAATTTAGAATTGACACTGCAGCCGGCATTGGCCGAATTGTGCTCGGCCGATATCGGCTATATGTGGGCGATATGAATAAACCCTTGTGATTATATGAGCGCTCTCACACATAAACCGATAACCGAACCGACATCGGCCGTTGACGTCCGTCAGTGACGAAAGATTCAAACGTGTTTGTTTTTCTCGCCCGATGTCAGGTGAAAAGTACCAAAATGGACTGCGAAAAATTAACTTATTGGGTGAAAAACAATCCACTTAAACAAGTAATTAAATACTTTTCAACATGAATTCGCAGAGTGCACTTTTCTTTTGTTTACAATTTGGTTGCCAAACACACCACAGCTGATCGTTTGACACATCTACCAGAATTTACCAGCAAAAAATTCTCGGACTAAAACTGGTAACTTCTGACAGAGAGAGAACCGTATTTACTCTCTCTTTTGTCCTCTCAATAGTCAGATAACCGAGTACGTGATCGATTTCCAGTAAAATCTGACTGATTCTGACTAGTCCGGACTCGTACGGGATCGCAACTAGTGCTAACTAACAGCGCTATCCCACTCTAGGTTGTGTTGCCTCGACAGCAGAGTGTCATAGCACAATTGTGCCACCTCACTGAGCTGACTCATTAAAATGAGCTTGAGTCATAGGGCTGGTATCTCCAACTCAACTTAACTTAGTTTAGCCACTTTTTGGATTTAAGTCAAAAGTTAGCCTACGTTTTACACAGCTTATTCTTGACTAAGTCAAGAAAATTGGCTTAACTAAGTTGAGTTGGAGAAACCAGCCCATAGAGTTAACTCACTAAAATTCAATCAGTTATGGTGCATTTACATGGTATGAATCTGTTCATAAGCCGTATGAATCTTATCTTATCTTACTATCTTACTAATCTTACTATCTTACTAATCTTATCTTACTAATCTTACTAATATTATAAATGTGAAAGTTTGTATGTTTGGATGTTTGGGAAATCATCACGCGGAAACGACTGAACGGATTTGCATGAAATTTGGTACGCAGATAGCTTATGGGCCAGATTGGATAATAGGCTATTTTTTTAAGAGTTACCACGTGTCAAAAAAGTTTAATTTATTTAATATGCGGGAACGACTGAATGGATTTGCATGAAATTTTGCACACATATAGCTTATGACCTGGGTTAGAAAGTAGGCTACTTT